CTAGGAAGAGTTCTGGTCGTCCCAAACTTCTTCCATTTAAGGATTATGGAGGCCACTGTGCTCTTAGGAACCTTGAGTGCTGCAGAAATTCTTTTGTAACCTTGGCCAGATCTGTGCCTTGCCACAATTCTGTCTCTGAGCTCCTTGGGCAGTTTCTTCGACCTCATGATTCTCATTTGCTCTGACATGCACTGTGAGCTGTAAGGTCTTATATAGACAGGTGTGTGCCTTTCCTAACCAAGTCCAATCAGTTTAATTAAACACAGCTGGACTCCAATGAAGGAGTAGAACCATCTCAAGGAGGATCAGAAGAAATGGACAGCATGTGAGTTAAATATGAGTGTCACAGCAAAGGGTCTGAATACTTATGACTATGTGATATTTCAGTTTTTCTTTTTTAATAAATTTGCAAACATTTCTACATTTCAGTTTTTTCTGTCAAGATGGGGTGCTGAGTGTACATTAATGAGAAATAAAATGAACTTTTTTTTATTTTAGCAAATGGCTGCAATGAAACAAAGAGTAACAAATTTAAAGGGGTCTGAATACTTTCCGTACCCACTGTATACACACAGACACACACACACACACACAGCCATGATGTAGGTTGCAGTTTACTACCTGCTGTAATAGTTCCTCTCTCGCATCTGACCAACATCCTGGATGAACGTTATCTGAGCTGAAAGACATATTATACTTAATGTAGGGCTGCCAATCGATTGGAGACATCAAATTAACCACAGTGTGACTATGGATTATTCATGGTTAATCATGATTGAAATGTATATATAAGTTGAGTTAATGGATTTTAGTCATTGCTCATTTTTAATCAGATTAATCTTCTCACATTTAGACAGGCCTAAATTTAATGATCAAAAATGTTCATTAAGACATAAATGTACATTAAAGTTAATATTATTCTTGCTCATTTTATTATCCCGAAATAAATCTGCATATGTGTGTTGGTACCTTGGTTTCTCATAGGATTGGTGAGTTTGGCCAAGTATGGCAGCAGCTCAGTCTGCAGGCTGACTGGTGTCAGGCAGAAATTCCTGAAGAGGGACTGAGCAGACAGACAGTTCTCCCTGTGCTGAAGACATCAATATCATCACAGTCTGCTCTACTTTTGTTGAATTTAAATGTTAAGGCCACAAAGACAGAGCAAATGTTTTAGTTTTTGTCATTATTCTATGACCTGGTTAAGAATTGAAGTGATTTTTACATCCAATCTTATGATAAAAACTAGCTGAAATAAATAAATAAATAACATTAGTGTCTTACCTTTTTGTTTATTAGCAGCCAATTGGGTTTGTGCAGCGGCCTGAAGCCAACAGAAACTTGCTGAGAGTTGGAATGAAGAAGCCCCCTTGTGGCCACTGACGAACTATAATCTTCCATGATGCTTCGATGCTTCAAAACATTAGTGTACAGACATTTATAGAAACTGTTTGGTTTTCTCATAGTTTTTGCAGTAAATGTTGTAAAAAATATTATAAATCCTCAATGTATTCTACTAGGTTTATTAAGGTCTTTTTTCAAATATTTTTTTAATCAATTACTAAGTATATTACTGTATAGTAATGTATTGTTTATAACCATGCATTGTACTGGTTACATCAGATTTTAAGTTTTCATAATTTATAAATGAAATTGATAGGTCAAATGATTAAGCCCAATGTATTACTAAATATAAATTAGGGACACACTGACCGTCCAATTAGAAGTAAAGAGGTCAGCATCAGACAGGTACTCGCTGGCCCGGTCCACGTCCTCCACCTCAGAAAAGAAGTCTAGGTAGTTCTGGTGGAGGTAAAGGTTGAAGAACTCTCCAGACATGTGAGACCGTTCAACAACGAGCTAAAACAACACAAACACACATGAACAGAAAAGACATTTTAAGCTGTGCAAAGTCTACTTAATGCATTGATAGTAAAATGGAAGCATGTTTTACCTCAGGGTTGACTAATAATGTTTCTCTGTGATGATGAGACAAATGAGTTGATAGTACAGGAACAGTGGAAACGTCATCTCCTTCAAAATCATCAGGGTTGCCTCCTGTCAGTAAAATAATTTTTTAAAAGTGTACACTGGAGACACAGTTATTTATAGCACCGTATCAATGATAATTTATAAGATTAAAACACACTGCATTAAATGTGACTCACGTTTACAGTGTAGGATTTTTCCCAGTGCCCTGAAGAGGAAGAGAGAAGCATCTTTCCCACCGATAGCCTGCTCCTCTTCTTCATCTTTTTTATTTTTTGATTTTTTCTTTCTCTGATTTGTTTTGGAAAAAGCTTTGCCCTTTGATACCAGAGGTTTGTCCTTCTGCATCCTCCACAGGTCATTTTCCAGTGACTGAGTGTCTGAGAAATTATCCATCGAGAAGTATATATATAT